ACACAGACAGGGTCGTCCCAATATGCGTTTTTACAATTTGCATATAGGCAAAAACGCATAAAAATCCATCTTCATTTGCATATACAATTGCGACTCAGATCAGAGTTGCTAACGATTTTTGGGTTGAGGATCTGCTTGATGCTGTGGTTGGGGAGCTAGAGAGCTGAGTTTAAAATTTTTATCTCGCATTTGCATAGAGGATATCCCTTCAAAGTTTCAGCTTTCTACGTCGCCTGGTTCCCGAAATCGTTTCCCGCCAACATATTTCTTTGGGGGTCCCGTATGCGCGGTCTAGGTGCGTATGAGGAAAGATCTTAAAGCGGGAGGATGACACGCAGGGTAGGAACAAGTATCCAAAGTTTCAGCCTCCCAACTTTCCTGGTCGCTGAGATGAAAGTGGGTGACAAAATGCACTTGCTTTCCGAACAAACACACGAACAGCCTCTCGACAATTTGCGTTTTTGCTGGCTGTAGCAGCGCTATAGCCAGCAAAAACGCATAAAAATTCATTTGCCGTCTTGGCATAGAATTTCGAGATCTAAGAAACAGGCACGTTGTCCAAAGTAAGTGGTGTTGAGTTTTAGGCTGGGCCCATAGATGTTGCTGGCAATTTCCGCAAAGTTGGCACAGTTGACATTAGAATATCATCGATATATCGGAAAAGATGAAAATGAAACCCCGGATTTTTACGAAGAAAACGATACTCCATTACTGACAATGTGAGATCGGCAATATCCGGGCTAGTATTACCACCCACTGGTACACCTTGTATTTGTTTGAAAATGTAACCACTAAATTGTACGTTTGTTTCCTCAAAAATGATACGAAGCATCGCCTTGACTTCGTCCCTGGTGTAGGATATAAACTCACTTGGGAATTTACTGGCATACCGGGTCTGGGTTTTACTCAGGCCAACATGTTCTTTACCCGAATCGTTGAAGCAAAGGTCAATAAGTTAGAAGAGATCGTCAATAAAGTGAGAATGCGGCAGACTGGTAAAAAGGTTGCTGAATTCTGCGGTGTATAAATGTTCAATCGTCCT